CCTCGCTCAGCCAGTGAGCGGGAACCGGTCTGTATGTGGGATCCGAACCCTCGGGCGGGAGCGCCGCCGCGCTTCCCAAGCGGCGCACTATCCAGTGCGCCACCGGGCCGGCCCGAGGTTTTTAAGCTGGATAGTTGGCCAGGTGCTAATGCCTTTGACCAAGATTGGGAATTCAAGAAGAATATCAGGTTCAAGGAGAAATATAATGGTTTAGAAGTTTGAGAAGCTTATATTAATAGACAGTTATGAATACCTCAGGTCTAGGGAGAGACATGAACTAGAGATACAGGTTGGAGTATTATTAATGTAATTGGAACCTCTAGAGTCAATAAAATCCCATGGGAAGGATGTATAAAATTAGGACAGAAGAGAGTTGAGGCCAGAGCCTTGGAATGGTCTGCTACAAACATCAGTTAAAAAGTTATAAAGGGCCGGCCTGTGGCTCACTTGAGAGAGTGTGGTGCTGATAACACCAAGGCCACAGGTTCAGATCCCCTTACTGGTCATCTTTAAAAAAAAAAAAAACAAAGTTATAAAAATGAATGTATAATCAAAAACCACAATAAGTGCTATGATGAAAAGGAGTCTGGTGTTATTAGAGAATATAATAAGGAACCAGACCTCACCTAGGGTCAGGCAAGGCTCCCTGAAGCAATGCCATCTGAGCTGAAAGCCGAAGGGTGAGTAGAAGGTACACAGAACACTGGACATCTATAGGAAAGGCCAACTTTTTTAAACATCAGGTTGAGCTAAAAAAAAATTCAGAAGGTAAACTCAGTCCTTCAAAATATGATCCAAAAAGGCAACACAACAACTATCAGATGAATAACACATTGCAGAATGTAACAGGGTGAGAGGCAGTTCTCTGGCACAGGTCGCTAAGGGTCAGCCACACTTAGACATCTGTGGTCCCATCTAAGTTCTTCCCCACAGAGGATTTCGTTTGTCCTCACAGGGAGGGAGGGAGGTCCTTAGCACAGAGTGGGGAGCAGGTGGACGGCCTGCCCAGAGTCACCCAGCATTCAGGGGTGGGGGGAGCAGGGACCAGTGTGAGCCCTGGGCTGTGCTGCTTTTCATCAGGTGCCAACTTTTGTCCTCTCCTTGGGGGCTCATGGGCCAGGAAATCACTGAATTCCCCTCATTGAGCTTCTTTCCACCAGTTTTTTTCCAGCTTAATTCCAACTGTTTGCCCTTTCCAAGGGCTGCTTTCCACTCAGCTAGAGCTTTCATCTCCCCGGGTCCTGGCAGTCTTCCCTGCTCTCTATTCCCCCACAACAGGGGCCTTCCTTCCTGGTCTATCTGATGAAACCCCTGGAATCCCTCACCCCATCCTGCCCACCTGCCCCAGGGAGGAATGGAAAGCCTCCATTGTTCAGAAAGCTCACAGGGCCCATTTGTCCTGATCACTCCTCTCCCTTGGGCTCCAGTTCCATGCATCAGGGACACTCCCTATGAGACCCGAGGGCCACATGCACAGAGCCTTAAGATGGATCTGGTGGCCACCAGAGTCCTCCTCCTCCCTCTTCAACTGTTGCCTCCCATGTTCCGGATGTAGATAGATCTCCAGCACCTATCTGTGAGGAAAAAGAATCTTTAAAAGTTAATAGGCCACCAGGCAGAAAGGAAGGTTTATTCTAAATGGGCCTCAAGGAGTAGAAATAAGGCCAATGGGAGATGTTTGAGGGAGCCTTCACTTAAGGGAAAGTTTTAGAATATGCCATCTTGGGTAGTAATGAGCTCCTCATCACTAAAAGGGATCGATCAAAGTGAAGGAGAGAAGATGCTTTTCTTAGGAGATGTTTGAGGGAGCCTTCACTTAAGGGAAAGTTTTAGAATATGCCATCTTGGGTGGTAATGAGCTCCTCATCACTAAAAGGGATCGATCAAAGTGAAGGAGAGAAGATGCTTTTCTTCATTTATTCCTTCACTGAGTGTCTACGGGGTGGCTACTGTGGACTAGACATTCTTCTAACCACTTGGGATAGCGGTGAACAGGACAGACAGACGAGATTCCCATTCCAATGGTGCTTACCTTCTAGTGGGAAGAGGTGGTAATAAGCAAGTAATCAAATAAATGAGCAAGGTGATTTTTTAGGTGGTAAGTACCACAATGAAAATAACAGGATGCTGTGTCAGAGTGATCGTGGGGTGGGGGTGGTGCAGAGGGCATCTTTAAATACAGTGGTCAGTGAAGCATTTCCATTGAGACCAGAGAAGGAAAGACCTAGAAACAGCATCCGGGCAGCAAGAGCAAAAAGTGGGGGGCAGTGCAGATGCCCTCTGATTTCGACAGGTGAGATTCTGCTGAGTATTTGTGATGTGTCCAGTACTATAGTACGTCCTGTGGAGTATATACAATATTAAAAAAAGGACAGAGGTTAGATGTTAAAGGGAGCCATGACAAGGAAGACATCCATAACTGAGTTGCTCAAGAATAGGATGGTAGATAGCATGTGGTGGTGAGCTTTTGGTTTTGTTTTGGTGGCTGGCAAGTATGGGGATCTGAACCCATGACCTTGGTGTTATAAGGCTGCACTTTAACCAATTGAGTTAACTGGCCAGCCCCATGATGATGTGCTTTCTGCCACTGGAAGTATTCAAGCATGTTGGACAAAAACCTGTCATGGGTTTTCTCATGAGCAGCCTTACAGCAGGCAGAAGCTGGACCTGCTAACTCTAAAGACCTTATCAATTTTTAAGTATCCATTGTCTTTACCTTCAACAAATGTACCATTCACTTGAGAGGAAAATGTCTCCACACATAAAACAGTTAAAAAACAACATAATGTTGTGGGAATGCGCTTTAAGGACTGTAGGGGATCAGAGAGATGAGAGGTCAGTGTGCCTTAAAGTAACCTCTGGGGTCTTTCTCACCATTGACAAGTCCCTCCTCCTAGTCCCATCCTTGTACCTCGGATTACTGCCCAAAATGGTCCCTCTATTCTAAACAAGCAAGTAATAGCTAAATAGCAGCTTGCTGTGTGCCAGCCGCTGGCCTGAGCATGTTACTCTAGTGACGGTCCCAACCATCTTACGAAGTAGGTGCTACCATTATCCACATGTTAACAGAGGAGCAAGCTGAGGCACAGAGAGGTTAAGGAATTTGCCCACAGTCACACAACCAGAGTGACTGTCCAAGGCATAAAGTTCACTGTCACTCCTCAATTGTGCATGCCCCTGTCCATGCTCAGAGTATCTCTCGCCTCTTCTCCATCAGCTTCCTTCAAACTTGGGCTCAAAATTCATACCACTAAGGAATGCATCTCAGATGAACACCTTCCTTCTGGTTCTACCGCACACCACCTCAACCCGTATGTACTCAGGAAGCAGTAAAGCATCATCCTCATGAAGCCAGACACCCAGCCCAACACTATTGACTGTACAACCCTGGACGAGTTACTTAATGAGACAACTCCTGTTATGATTTTTATCAGTTCACATCTTTAAATCCTGTGTATCCACCATATATTGCAAGCCTTTCCTGTGCTTGGTACTGGAAATACAGAAATGAGGTGGACACAGTCCCTGCCCTTGAGTCCAGGACCTGGCCTAGCAGCTAGTGGGAAACCTGGGCCATGTGGTCTCTTACTGAAGGAGGACATTCTGTATGCCTTCTTCAGATTCTGGGACAAGAGCCTCTGAGTAATTTGGAGCAGGGGGCAGCAGGCGCAATCCCAAGCCACCTCATAGGGGATGATTTGGGGAGCTCCCACTGGGTTGAGAATATATCAAAACTGTACATTAATTCTTGTATTAGAATATTTGGGTCATAAGATAAGTGCTAGAGTAAAAACAAGCTCTGATGACTTCCCCCACCATCATCCAACAGCAGGGAATTTGGTTCGACCCAACAGTGTTTTCTAAGCCAGAATCAGGCATCCTCACTTCCTCTCCAGACTCAGCTCTAAGCATGCTTCTAGGGGACACTGGCCTAAAAGGGGTACTCTTAAGATAATACCCTCACTCAGGTGATCTCCAGCTATGGGACACCCATCTTTTTAGGGCAGAGGCTGTTTTAAAGCAACTATTGATCAAATGGGTTGAGACTAGTGCTGGGCCTTTCCTAGGGTGGCTGGGTGGGTTTGGGGAGCCAGCCTCCTGGCCCATTCCCACATAACTCCATGTGACCTAATCCTCAGGGTCTGGTCTACATCCTGCCTGGGACCTGGAATTTTACTGGATTCACTCTAGTCACTTCGGAATGAATTTTCTAGGAGTTTCCTCAGGTTCCTTCCTGAGGAAAGGAGGCAGAGAGACAAAACTTGAATACTAGCACCCTAACTCCTGACTTTTTGTCTGTGGTGAGCTCATCTTCCTGGCTCCAGTGCAGATGGTTACAAACAGGAAACAGGGATGCTCAGAGGCAGAAGAGAAAAGTGTGTGACTTTTTCATCACCTGTCTGAGACTCTCCCAGGTTGAAGCAGGGTCATCACATCTGTCCATCTACCTGGAGATAGTTGAGATTGCCATTCTGCTGTCTCCTCTACACTTTCACCAAGCCCATGGCTCATAACTGAAGGGGAAGACACATTTCCTGATTTTCCAGTTCCCTACTTGACTCATGGCTGCATGACAAGCCTCTCAAACATTTAACCTAAATCTACCATGCTGCAGATTGCTTTCTGGAAGACCCAGCTCTTACATCACTTATAGCCAGTCAGCTGAAATTGAAGTCCCAGCACCAAGAATAATGAGCCCTCTCTGTAAACCCCAGGGCTCTTGCCTTGCTGGAGAGAAATCAGGACTATTTAAATTAATACAGTACTCGGATAGCAGATCAGTAAGAAATATAACCCCCTTTGTTTCCATCCTGGAGGTCCTAGAGCTTGTCAAGAACATTGTGGCTGATGACCGAGTCCAGTTCCATGTACTGAGTGCCTTTGACTCCCTGCCTGTCAGCCCCTCTGATGACCAGGCCTTGGGCTACCAGCTGCTCCACCAGACCATACGTTCTGTCTTCCCGGAAGTCAGTGTTGTCACTCCAGGTAATGACTTCATCAGCTGTGGCTGGAGAGAGGTGGGGGCTGGGACTGTTTCCTATCCAATGTGCACTGCCCCACCCCCACTGCAGCTGTTCAGCCTGGAAACAGCTGGCTGCTTCCCCTCCTGATGGAACTGGAACTGTATTTTTCCCTCAGGTGGAAGTGAGAAAGCAAACAGGAAAGGAGCAGAAACAATAAATTAGGTCAGTCAAGCCCGAGTCCTTGCTTAACCTAGGCCGCCACTTTGGCATAGAAGAAAGGATTGATTTAGACTCCCTGCTCCTCTAGAGGAGCCACAGAGGGGTCCAAGATCCCCCCAGACTCTGGGTCTCATCCATTTGTGGATAACAACCCAGCAGCAAGGCTCGGAATCCTCAGCGCAGAAAAGCTTCCCAGCCCATACCATTTGTGTTTACACCATTCACCTCTCCCAGCCCAGACCAATCCCAGCAGTACCCCTCTGCACCCCTTCCCCAGTCTTGAGCACACCATCCAACTCTAGGCTGTGCAGACAATGTTTCTTCAATTTAAGAGTGGAAGAAGATCATCTAGGGAACTTACTAAAATGTAGATTACCTGGACCCAATCGCAAAGATTCATGTTACCAAATCTGGATGGGACCCTGAAATTTGCCTTTTTAACAAATACCCCCAGGGGATTCAGACACAAAATAATGGCTGACCACAGTTTGAGAATCTCTAGTGTATGATGTGAGGAGGAGATGCTCTAATGTTAAGGCCTGTGTCCAGTTTTCTTTTATCTAGATATAATAATCATGGATTCCTCCACACATCCAGGAGCCCTGGCCCTCACAGTCCCAGATTCTCCTCTTTTTGCACTCAAAGGCTCCCTATGCTACTCCCTCCCTTCTGAGGCACTTGCCATAATCTCAACGGGTGTTAGGCTTTTACAAAAAAAAAAAAAAGATAGGCAGAAATCAATGGGCAGAAATCCAAGGAATTGTGACGGGCCTGGCTGCCCATTTGAAACCAGAGGAAAATAGAACAAAACACAAATTACTGTCTCAAAACATCCCGCTGCACTTGAATTGATGCTCCAGGAAGTCTTTTCCCAAAGAACATGCCTGTGTGGACAAGCTGGGTGACCTGCTGCCACCTTCAGGAGAGTAGGAGACTGGAAAAAACAGTATCCTGGGACTTTCTAAACCTGAGATTTGACTCTAGGAAAACAGAGTCATCCTTTGGAGATTGAGAATAATAGGAAATTATGTTCCACTTCAAGAGGACTGCATTTTATAGCAGTAAAGTTCTCTAGAGGGTGTTGGTTTCTGATCTAGGGTGATACATAATAATGGTCAGGTGAGAAAAAAGTGATATCTAGACTCCTGGTTTCTAAAATAGCAAATGGCCATGGCTATAAGTATGAAATTAAGACACTGGTCACTTAGCTTTAGTCCATTCAAGGGATAGTTCACCAATGCTCTTGGGAGGACATTCCATGTTCCTGGCTGAAATGGTGATTTTTTTATAAGGTTTTGAAAAAATGTACTCTGGAGGACAAAAAAAAAAAAATCATAGGCACAGGCTCCCAAGAAGGCCCAGACATTGCTCTGTTATGACCCAGTGGTCCTAATTTTCCAGCCAGCCCACGTCCTGCTACTTCCTTGGTTTGTTTGCTCACATAAAGCCCTATTCCTCTTGATCTTCCCTTTGTAGGTATTTGCATTGGCAACACAGATAGCCGACACTTTACGAACCTCACCACTGGCATCTACAGGTTCAACCCCCTCTACCTGCAGCCTCAGGACTTCAGTAGGTAAGCTGAACAGATTTCAGCAGCAGCGGGAAGAGGAGAGATACATGTGACCTGTCCCTTTCCCACACTATGCTCCTGACAGTCCACAGAATGGGGGAAAGCTGGGGTTTGATAAACTAACATGGAGACATTGTAGAACCTAACTGGCCAACTGTCATTGCCAGAGTCTTACCATTTTCCCAAATTTGTGGGGCTCAGCCCCCTTTTTATAAGGATGGAGATGATCAGGTGATTGGTGAGAGGATGGGTGCTAATCCCAGCTCTTCCTCCCTTCGGGACAGTGCTTTCCCTCTGGACTTCATTTTCTCCACCTACAAAATGGGGAGACGCGTCAGCATTCTCTGAAATGCAAACACACCTGAGGTCAAAGGTGGGCATGTGCTTTGACTTCTCAGAAGAAAACACTATGGAAATCCAAGACAGGACCACCAATTTTAACTGCTGTGTGTGAATTACTATTTTGTGGGTTCTTCAGCAAAGTTTTAATCCCAGAGTGTGGGAGGATAGTTTCCACCTACCTCTCTGCTGCTTATCACATCCAGACCTGATCCCCCCACCACAAGTTAGCTGTAAACAGAATGAAAATATTTGAATACAAGCTCGAGAACAGCTTCATGTTTTGGTTTTGGTTTTGGTTTTTTAAAAAGAGGGGTGGGAGAAAAAAAATAAATAAATAAAAAGAGGGGTGGGTAGCTACCTGAGGTTGCATGTGTAACTGGGTTGCTGTTTGGTTCGTTCTGTTTTGTTGTGGGGAGGCAGGTGGGTGGGGATGAGGTCTGATAGGCAAGTTTCCTTTTTTTTTTGAAAAGATGACCGGTAAGGGGATCTTAACCTTTGACTTGGTGTTGTCAGCACCATGCTCAGCCAGTGAGCGAACCGGCCATCCGTATATGGGATCTGAACCCGTGGCCTTGGTGTTATCAGCACCGCACTATACCGAGTGAGCCACAGGCCGGCCCCGATAGGAAAGTTTCTAGGTGAAGCAGAGCACAGGATAGGTACCTTGGACAGATGCCACCCCCCGCCCCCTCCTTAAGTTGAGGGGTAGGGAACTGGTTTAGAGATAAGTCTAGCTAGGGGCTGTGTCCTAAGAGAGAGAGAATTAGAAACATAGTTCTCCCAGAGGAGAAATTATTGAAAGGACTTTAGAGCAGGAGACGATTTTGAACTCCCCAGGAGTTTATTCATTATTTACCACACTGTTCCTTGCCACGAGCATAGATCCCTGAGAGATGAGCAACACGGCCTGTGAAGCCTCACAAATGGCCTCTCCCCACTTGTCCACTTCCTACCCCTGATGGGTTAAAGGCCAGCGGTTTCAGGGGATGGGGCGTGGGGTAGGGGGAGGGCTCCATAATAAAACTTGCGCTACAGCACTTGGCCTTCCCCTCCTCCCCGACACGCATCTCTCTTTCCTCAGCGTACACGGAATCAATGAGAAGATCTCAGTCCAAGCCTATGAGACCCAGGTGAAATTCATCTTTGAGTTGATCCAGAATGCTGACACATACCAGAGGCCAGTCTCTGACCTGCATGAACTGTGAGGTCGAGGAGCCATCTGGGTTAGGGGTGCCCAGTCCTGGGCCAGGACTAACCCAAGGGGGAAAGCCAATGCTGGTGAAACTTGATCAAGATCACATTGCCCACCTGCCTCGCTCACTCCTAAACTCACCCAATCACAAGGCCAAGGGGTAAGAGAGGTCAGCAGAAATCTGGCTTCTCCCTTCCTCCCGACACCTCTCCTCCCTCAACTTACCTATTTACTATCTTCTTGTCCCTTGTCTGTCTTATGCTGGATATTTAACTGTTCCAACTCTCCAGGTCTGACTTAACAAATGCAGGTTTGAAAAATATCAATCGGGCTGGCTGGTTGCTCACTTGGTTAGAGCACAGTGCTGATAACACCAAGGTCAAGGGTTCAGATCCCCATACCAGCCAGCTGCCAAAAAAAACCCAAAAAACAAAAAAAAAAACTCAACCATGTTTTACCTGATCAGAGTGTTTAATTTAGGGCACTCTTGCGAGGATGCCTTCTCCGGTGCTTATATATTTCTTCTTGCTAGAATTTTTTCCCCCTCTCTTCCTGGACTCATCTCTCCTCTACTGCCCCTGCATCCCTCCCCTACTCTCCAGTTTATTCTACATCTAGAGAAGGTCAAACTGATGCTACCATAATTGCCACCATAATTGGTCAAATAAAGTTATCTTTGCAGTACCAGCTGGTAACTGAGGGGTGAAACTGAGGCAGGGACTTTGGAGGAACCCCAGACCTCCTGGTTCTGGAGGCTGGAGACTGGAGAAGAAAGCCTCTGTCCTTGGGCTCCTCTCAAGGGCTCCCTGGGCTTTGCTCCCTCCCCTGCTCTGTCCCTGCCACCTGCTGCTGCTGTCCCACCCCAGGAGGCACTAATCTGTGGAAACATTTCCCTGGCAGATCCTGTGGGCTGAGCTCCCGAGGAAAGGGCATTCATGACCCAGCATCTCATTGCAGCCCAGGACCAGCAGGGCCCTACCCTGGTGTCATGTCCAGGTTTAGACTGATTAAGGGGAAGGGGAGGGCAGGGGGTTGGGGGGAGACTGGCCTGAGAGGCTCTGCTCTGGCTGGTGGGATATGGGGAGGGGCAGGCTGCCCTCCATTAGAGGACAGCAAAGCTCCTGTCTTTTTTCTCTGGACTCCAGCCCCCAGCATATTTAAATCTGCTCAGTAGCTGCCAGGTGGAGGGCGCTGGAAGGCAGCATTTCTTGGCTCAGGGCTAGGAGCTGTGCTTTGTGGATCACAAGGGAGTCAGGGTCACAGAGGGAGACACAGAGGGAGCTGGGGCTGGAGAGACTCCTTCTTTTTTCCCCTCACCAGGCAAGGACCTTCCCTACCTTCCTGGGGTTTGACAGCAGTGGTCTCCTTTTGCCTCTCCTCACAACCTCCCTTGTCCTCACGCCCCCAAGTCCTCATCTCCCTCCTGGGGATGTGAGCGGTTCCATGGAGCTCAGGCTCAATGGAAAGTGTTAGAAACACAGTGTGGGGGTTATTCAGGCTGTTTGCTACTCCCGCTAAGATTCACATTCCTTCCCTCACCCTCCCTTTTCTGGCCAATTCTGTACTTATTCAGCCTTTGTTAGAGGGCAAGCTGAAAAACAAAAATGATCCCTCCCATTTGTACAGAGCTGTACAAAGTGCTTTCATACACCCTATCTCAGCAGAGGCCCCCAAGAACTCTGTGAGGAAGGTATTGTTACCCCTTCTTACAGTGGAAGAATTGGTTCTCAGCAAGGTTACACATCTAGGTAGGGGGCACTTGGCTCAAACCCAGATCACGTGGCCCCAAACTCACTCTTATTCCATGATCCTAAGTTACCAATGGAATTAATTCCTATTGGTTGTCTTATTTAATCCTCAACAATTCAAAGGTGTGATTGCCCATTTTACAGATGAGACCACTGAGACTCTGAGGTTAAATAACTTGTCCAAGTTCATGCAGGGGTTAGGGGCTTGATAGAGTTTGGGTATATTGTCTCCCCAAAGCTCATGTCAATCTGATCCCCAATGTGACAGTGTTGAGAGATGTTTGGGCCATAGGGGGTAGATTCCTTATGAACATATTAATACCCAGGGTGGAGAGTAGTGAGTTCTCTATTAGTTCTGCCAAGAGGGGGTTGTTTAAAAGAACCCTGGCGCACACATGCTCTCTTTCTCTCTCTCTTCCTGCCCTGCCGTTTTCTGCCATGAGTAGAAGCAGCCTGAGGCCCACACCAGATGCGGCTGTCCCAGAATTGTGAGCCAAATAAACCTCTTTTCTTTATAAGTTACCCAGTTTGAGATATTATAGCAACACAAAAATGGATTAATACAGAAAGTTGGTACCAAGGAGTGGGATGTTGCTGTACAGATACCTGAAAATGTGGAAGCAGCTTTAGAACTGTAATGGGCAAAGGTTGGAAGAGCATGGAGGACTCCGTAGAAGAAAAAAAAGATGAGGGAAAGTTTGGATCTTCTTAGAGATTGGTTAAATGATTGTGACCAGAATGCTGATAAACATGGACAGTAAACACCATGCTGATGGGGTCTCAGATAGAAACGAGGAATTTATTGGGAATTGGACAAAAGATCACACTTTCTACACCACAGCGAGGAACTTGGCAGCACTGTGTCCATGCCCTAGGACTTTGTGGAAGGTGAGACTTAAGAGTTGTGAACCAGAATATTTTGCAGAAGAAATTTCTAAGCATCAAAGCATTCAGGAAGCTGCATGGCTACTTGCAACAGCCTACGCCTGGTCATGACAGCAAAAGCATGACGTAAAGCCAGAATTTATAATTAAAAGGAAAGCAGAGCAGAAAGATTTGGAAATTTTGTAGCCTGGCCACATGGTGGAGAATGATAGAACATTTTCAGGAGAAGAATCCAAAGGGGCAGCAGTGGGACTGGTTGCTATGCCGCCAGCAGGTGCTAATAGCCAAGACAAGGGGAGAAAGGCCCCAAGAGTGCCCCTCACAGACCCAGAGCCTTAGGAGGACCAAGTACGTCCAGGGGACAGACCCAGGGTGTTGGAGTGAGCAGGACTAAAGCCATGTTGGGACCTAAAACTGCCTGGGCTGTGGAAGGGGGCAGGATTTTTAAAAGGACAGTGTTTCCCCTCCACTCTTTCTTCCCATCCCCTGACTTTCTTATCTTGCTCACTAAGTAGGAAAACAAGCTGAGAAGCTAATTAGCACCTTGCAAAGCTAACAGTTCTTTCTTTGAGACTTGTAGAGATTTGAGAAATGATCAAGGCCAAATGACTGGAAGGTGACCTTGCACACCAGCCAAGTACACCAGAGCAAATCAAAACCTTGCAGGGTCCTGAGATAACAGTGAAGATGAAAACTGAAATCTGATGAGGCCTTGGCAAGACCTTGTACCTGACCCATAGACACAGACCCCTCATAACTCACATCTCCTGCTCTCCTGCTTTTCACCTCCCACATTCCATTCCCTCAACCACTCCTTTAAAAACCTTCAGTAAATGTAAATCTATGAGATGGAACAGCCTCCTTTAGCTGAATACACCTGCTTTTCTAACACCAACCATCTGACTTCTGAGTTTTTTTCTTTCCTTCTCAAGGGGGCGGACAGCCACACCTGAGTTTGGTAACAAGGGCACTGCTGCCCTCTGCCACATCGGGATGCTGCTCCCTGCATCCTGGCTGCTCAGGCTGGAGCAGCTGTGCCTCAGGTGGCCCCAAGTGTGGTCTGTGCCGCAGCTCGAGAGAGCACAAGCTGGAAACCTTGGCAGCATCCACATGTGTTAAGTCTGTAGGCCGGCAGAATGTGAGAGCAGCAGAGGTAGGGAAACCTCCACCCAGATTTCAGGGGATGTATGGAAAAGCCCCGGGGCCCAGGCAGAGACCTGCTGCAGGAACAGAGCCACTGCAGAGGGCATCTACCAGAGCAGTGCGGACCAGGGCAATGTCTAGTAGAGCCAAGGGAGTGGTTCCACCACCAGGACCCCAGAATGGTAGGGCTGCTGGTAATGGGCGATGCCAGCCTGGAAAAGCGGCAGGCACCATTGTAGCCCATGAGCTGTGCCAAGAAGAGCCATAGGGGCAGGGCTGCCCGAGGCTTGGTGGGGGGCTAACCCCCCCCTGTGCCCAAGATGCAGGACTTGGAGTCAAAGGAGATTATTTTGGAGCTTTAAGATGTAATGTCTGCCCGGCTGGGTTTTGGACTTGTTTGGGGCCTATTCCTCCCTTTTGGAATTGGAATGTGCACCCAATGTCTATTCCACCATTGTACCTTGGACGCAGATAAATTTGTTTTTGATTTTTACAGGTTCATAGCTGGAAGGAGTTTTGCTTTTTGTCTCAGATGAGACTTTGGACTTTCAAGTTGGTACTGGAACAAGCTAAGACTTTTGGGACTATTGGGATGGAATGATTGTATTTTGTGAGAGGAACATGAGTTTTGGGGGGCCAAGGGCAGAATATAGAGTTTGGGTATGTTGTTTCCCCAAAGCTCATGTTGAAGTCTGATCCCAAATGAGGCAGTGTTGGGAGGTGTTTGGGTCATAGGGGGTGATCCCTCATAAACAGATTAATACCCTCCCTGGGCTGGGGTGGGGGTGGTGTAGTGAGTGAGTGCTCTCTCATAAGTTCCTGTGAGAGCTAGTTGTTTAAAAGGACCCTAGCCCTTCTTTCTCTCTTTCTCTCTCTCTCCCCCTGCCTTCCCTTCCCCATCCCCCTACCCCCTCTCTCCCATTCAAAAAGGGAGGAATAGGCCAAAAGAAAGTGGTAACAGGTCCTAAACAAGTCCAAAACCCAGCAAGACAGGCATTAAATCTTACAGCTGGTGAACCATGTACCTTGACTCCGTGTTTGATTTCCTATGCGCGCTGGTGTGGGGGTTAGGTCCCCAAGTCCTCAGGAGACTCAACTGCTATGACTTTTCTGGTCTACGGCAATGTTTTAGCTCTCCCAGGCTAGATTGCATGCTGGTAGCTCTACAGGTGTGGGGTCTCCATGGCTCCACTAAGCGTAGCCTTGGTTAGGTTTTTTTGCTGCAACTCTGACCCTACATTTCCTCTTGGCATCGCTCTAGCAGAGACCTTATGCAGTGACTCTGCCCCTGGGACAGATCTCTTCCTGGGCCCCCAGGCTTTTCCATACATCCTTTGAAATTGGGGTGGAGGCTCCCAAGCCTCCACAACTCTGGTGTTCTGTGAGCCTCCAAACTTAACGCCATGTGACATTGCCAAGGCTTCTGGCTTGTATTTTCCAAAGCTACAGGTCTAGCCACACCTGAGGCCAATTTGGCCATGGCTGGAGCAGCCAAAGCAGGGGGGAGCTGGTGCACTGAGCAGCATCTGGAGGTGGTCCTGGGAAGCAAG